GAAGATGATGATATTGCTTGAGTAAGAAAAGCATGGTGAAATGCAGTAGAGAGATATGTAAAAACACAGGAGCAGGTAATGCATTTAAGAGCTGTATGTACTGAAACTGAGCAGAGGGTGCCCTGTAGGTGTGCTGAGTCATCTGCCTTAAACTGTAACATGACTTACTGTGGACTGCTGCTGGGAAAGATCAGCGCTAACTTGTGCGTGACGAAGTGGCACATGATACGTCTGTGCTAGTACATGTTAGGTCCAAATAACATGTTTGTGAGGGAAGTCAGTATATACTTGGTACCTGCACCAAAGGACTTGGAGTGTGATTAATTTAGAGGGTGTTGAATTTTAACCGAAAGCAGAAGAGTTTGCCTGTATGTCATCATGTGTGAAACTTGATGCCAGTGAGTATTGGTACAAAGTTCCAATCCAATTGGTTCTGCGTTTTAAAAACATCTTATTCTCGAGGGTTGAATCTGCAAAGCTTTCTAGCTACGTGTGGAAGGCTCTGGTCATCACGGATGTAACACAGCTTGGGCAGGAGAACTGCGTCACCCCTCTGTGTTGTAGTCCAGCAGAGTAAGAAATGTGAAAAAGCACTGAACAGTTGTCCCGGTGGTTTATAGAATGATCCTGTTTTTCTCTGAAACACTGGCTGGGTCCCAGAGGAGACAGGTCACTGATCTGTTTACAGCGTGACATTTCCAGTCTGAGTTGAAGGATGGAATTTCAGGGATTTCTTGGGAGGTGGGGGAAGGCTCAGAAGAGAGGAGAAATGTTTTCAGGTGGTTCTAGCTGTGGGTAAAACCAGCTTATGCAAGGCAAAGCACAAGAAGACGACTTGCATACAGATATTTTATGTGTTCGGATTCAGAAAAAAGGGAATAAAAACTGTCTCTGGTCCCAATTTACTATTCAAGGCATATGTCTTGGGGCATCTTCATTCTTACAGCTCTTGTCTTCCAATTTATGTACTGTGGATGTGTCTCATTTTTTTGTTTTCTTGGGTTTTGGTATATTTTTTTTTTTTCCCCCTCAATCATGCACAAAATGTGCATGTGTATTTAAAGTGTTTGGACCTAATAAGTGTGAGATCCTTAGCAAATTGAGAGGGTGGGTTAAAAATATCATAATAGTATGGGAAGGGGGATTTTATTTAAATGGGTATGTCTTCTATAAATATTTGCATTCTTTGCATTTTCTTCACCTCTAGTGTAATGCTGGAGAGAAATATTTAAAAAAAAAAAGAAAAGTGTTGTACCATGAAAGTGTGACTATGCTTTTTCTATCCTATCTGTACTAGGAAGTGTTGTCTTTCTCTAGTGAGGATAGTTCCAGTAGCTGTCTGTGGTAATGAAACACTTGTTTCCATCATTTTACTGCTGTTTGTAATCTCTCCTGTTTAAAGTAGCTCTTTGAAGTTAGAGAGTGTTTTGCTTCCAGTTATTTCCAAGGTTATAGCAAGTCACAAACCTTGCAAAAAGATGCACATCTTTCCCAGCTTCACTTCTGTGTATGCCCCGTCTGTATGCTTTGTGCCTGGGAGAGATTTACGTTGTATCTCAGTGCTTGGCTCTGCTTTCTTCTCTGAACACTGAAGATCCAGCAGGAAAACTGGTCCATGTATGTGGAAAGCTGTGGCGGCAGCAGCAGTACTTGGTTTGGTGCCAGCCTGTATGCATGCAGCTCATGAACCATCAGTCCCTGTGATGCCATTGCCATCCTACATGGGACCAGAGGAATTCCACAGTTCTGTGCTATCTGCTTGGGAGATTTATTAGCAGAGCGGTGGTGTTTGCTCAAACAGCTATTATTTTTTCCTGTGGGGAAAAGGTTGGCTGATCAAGCCAGTTGGCCATCTGTTCCAGCAGTTAGACTGTGCTGAAATAGATGATTTCCTGAGGTTTTTACCAGCCAGTATTTTCTATTGTCAGTGCTATCTGCGGCCTTCCTCTGGCATTTAGGCACCAGTATGTGTCCACAGGCACTGCAGGGTGGTGAAATAAGGGTAGGAGAGAAGTCAATCATGGGTATGGGGGAATTGTCAACCACTGGTGAAACAAGCCTCTCCAGTGATTGCATAGCCACATTCAGTGCAGTGGGTTTTTCATTTCACATGCCATGTGCCCTTCTATTCTGACAGTTTGGTGACAGGCTTGGGCTCATTAAGATCGTTTTGAAAGTTGTGCTTGTGTGTAAGCTTTGGTTCCGTTTTTCTCCAGCATTTTGAGACCTGAAGGGATCAGGGATGCCACTAATTGCTCCCTCCCTCCCCAGACTCCCCAAACTTCTCTTTCAACTGTTGAGATTGTAAATAAATATGACCTATTGCATTATGCCAGTTGTCTGGAGGGGCCAGAGGTACAGGTCTCCGTTTACTAATTTATTCTATTTTTTTTTCTTTTCTTAGTTAACTCATGTTAAAGTTGTTTCAACTCCTTTTTTTTTTTTTTTTTTTTTTTCCCTCCAGTTCAGAGTCTGGAATGGTGGAGTCTCCATGTCCACAACAGCTTTTTAGTATAGATGGTATAGCTTCACGTTAGCTTCTGGTTTTAGATTTCCTCTGTTGGTAAGAAACTGCTCTTTTCATTAATGCTTGGTTAATAATCAGTGTTTCAGATAGACTGTTCAAACTGTTCCTGAACTGCGGATGAGTCTGGGAAATTGTTGGTGGATATTTTAATTCCAGTGTGGTGGAAAGGAAGCAATATGATTCAGCTCTTAAATTTTGATCTGCAAATGGTATTTCATAGCACAGCAATACATACACTAGATTTATCAAGCTGTGTACTGCTCTTTGCAGAAGGATTTTTGTGGAGTTTTGAGGTGATTCCTATTACAGATTTGGTCTACAAAGAATGATTCTAGCTGGAATACTTGATACCAAGTACTATATACTGTATACTTAAAAACATATAAAGGGGGTGTGGAAGTAAATTTCATCGATGTTTTAGGGAGTTAGCTCAGTCAAGTAATTTACAAGTATAAGTGTTTTCATTTGGGTTTTGATGGTACAGTAGTAATAGGAATGATTTTGCTGTCTGCTGACAAGATGAAAAAAAAATTATTTCTTTGTATTAAAAGGTAGTTGTGGGGGCAGGGAGAGGGGGAACACGACACCCTGAACAACCTTGGCAGATCTTCTAGTTGTGCAATGGTGGTGATAGGGTTAACCACACGTAGTGCTTCTTCCTCAGTACCACCCTGTCTGGGTAGTATTGATTTCTTATTGATTCCTTGTCGGCTGGTAAACAGTGGCTGCGTGGCATTGTATGTTGTCTTCTGAAGATAGAAGTATTTTTTTTTTTTATTGATGAAACGTGGCTAAAAGCTTAACTAGTAACTCTTCATTGTTTACCTTGGCAAAATGATGAACTATGAACAACATTGCACTAAATTCTGGAACAAAAGCCTGAGGCTTTTCAGAGTTTCTGTTTTAGCATTAGACTTCAGTTGCTATGTTAAAATGCTTTGATTCTGAATTGCAGACGTCCTAACTTGAAGCTTCTCTCTACTTAGAATTGAGATTTTAATTTCGAGGTTGTTTTTTAAACTAAGATTTGATAAACAGTTGCTATTTTGCTGATATAAGAACTTTGTATCTGAACAGATACTAGCAAGCAAGTACATACCTCACGGTATGAAACCTAAGCCAGCTGTGTGTGGGAAAGAGAAACCAACACATCTGGGTGGTTGGGGTGGGTTTGTTGTTGCTTTGTTGCTTGATGTAGAAGAAACCTGTTTGGTGGTAAATCTCTGACCTGCATTGTTTTTTGCTAACCTCACTGGTGATAGAAAGTAAGCCAGCCATATATCAGAAATATTTTTATTACCAATTTTCCTTTTGGTAATGATTCTTTTCAGATCACTTCATCTGTCTACTCTTTAATATTTCTCCTCACATGTGGATTTCTGCTTTTATTTAATTTTTTTGTCCTGTAGAGATGACTTGTCTTCCATGCCCTTGTAATTAATAACATTTGATCCTCTTAGCATTTTGATTCAAAAGTGCCAAGTAATACAGATCTCCGGGGTTCTCCTCTATTGTCGTGTTTCAGCGTAATCTCTCAATGCATTAAAAATTTTACTTTTTCTGTCAATTTAATCTCTAGGTAGGCAATTAATGATATAAATCAGGGGTAGAAAAGGGTCCCTGAGAAACAATTGGCACCCTTCTGTTCCAAAGTGACTTCTAGAAATTTTCTTGCTGCTTTTGAGGGATGGAGCTGCTTGATGGGCAGACTGAGGGCAAGTTATCAATGCTGAATTATACCCAGTAATGCATGGAGATTCCCAGGGTAACAGAGGTGTGACCGGATAAGTCCGTATGGTATGGTGCAGCTCTGTACAGATCAGCTTGTGTGAAGGTGCTGTAGTAGCAGTATGTGGTGTTACCTAGTGCTGTGCGTGAGCTGTACTGCGTGCAGACTGTGTCTGACTGTACCCTGAGCCATTCACCCATTTCTTCTTGAGGCTATGGCAGCTCACATGTTTCCGCAGAGTCATTGTGTGCTAATCCAGAGACCACTGGTCGGAGGAAAGTTTGCTTGTGATAGAGGTTTTGTATGAAGCCTTGTCTAAGCAAAATTATTTAAAGCTCACAGTGAATACTGTAAAAAAAATTGTTTCAGTGGAATAAGCACAACAGCCCTTCAAAAATTGTCTGTCTGTTCAAATCTGGTTGATGTTAATTGACTCATTTGTAAAGAAAAAAAGAGAACATAAAAACTAAAAGCTAATTAGTCTTATATCATCAGTGAGATAGATAAATACCTTGATTTTTTTTTTTTTTTTAAGCTGCATAACAGCAGAAATGGTTTTAGTGACACTTCCAGTGCCAGACACAAGCTGGAATTAAAGCAAGTCATGACTCAGTCCTCTACTTAATGTCAGAACTGGACTCCTAGTTCAGCTATACCTCTACAAGTGGTATTTACCTAGCACAAAGGATTTCACATGCCTGTTCCAGTAGAGAATGCTAACTTTCTGTTTCTGTTTTCTTTTAGGCTATGTTTCACACTATGTGCTGACTGTCTGTACTTACAGAAGATATTTAAAAACAAACAGACTTTTTTTTCAAAGATTTTGATTCCAGTGGAATCTGTGCTTTAGATTTTTGTCTTGTCAATTAACTCCTGAAGCAATGCCTGTACAAGCTCCACAATGGACGGATTTTCTCTCCTGCCCGATTTGCACACAGACTTTCGATGAAACAATCCGGAAGCCCATCAGCTTGGGTTGTGGCCACACTGTCTGCAAGATGTGCCTCAACAAGCTCCACCGTAAGGCATGCCCTTTTGACCAGACCACTATCAATACAGACATTGAACTCCTTCCTGTGAACTCAGCCTTGCTGCAACTAGTGGGTGCTCAGGTATCAGTACTTTTTTTGTTAAAATCTGCTTCTATGTTGTTTTCCTTCTTTCTTTTAGGAGGACAAATTATGAATAAAGAATGTGACTGTGTTAATGGTGTGTAGAGTAGTCATCTACTTTTTTTAAACTGACTTTAATGAATACAGGTTTTAGACCTTTGACGTGCTGTTGTAGAGGTGCCTGGAAGAACAGTTCAAATCTTGATTCTACTACTTGCTTGACTGTGATTTTGTTACATCTAATTTGGTATAACTGTGGGCTGTCAGCAGAACAGGTTGGTTCTGTTCCCGTCCTTCTTCCCCAGCTCATGTCTAGCCTTGCTCTGCCAAAAGGATGAACTGGATCAGTGAGCTTATCTGGTTGGTAACCATTCTTCCATGGTAGTTTACTTGATTTACCATAGTCACCCTTATGAAGTTGTGATCAGTTGTCCCAAAAACAGGGGGGGAGAGTGAGGGAAGTGGGACAGACACCTCTGGTAGCAGCCTTTACACTGACTTATATTTAATTTGAAACTGTGCTCTGGAATTGTAACTTCCTGAGCTGAAATGTTAATCTAAATCCATATAGCTGAGTGGGGGGAGCCTGCTTGAGACTCTCCTTTCTGCTGGAATGTGTACTCATGAGGTCAGCTGAACCAGTGATCTGATAGAGATGAGCACTCCAGTGGCACTGGTACTGATGGCAGCCCAAGGAAAGGGGCAGGGATGGGTGGAAAGCAGGATTGTCCTGTTCAGTTGCAGCACAGACTTAAATTGGCATAAGCTTATCATGGGTAGATCACTGTTAAGTTTCCTGTGACCCATACCTCCTGAGGCTGGACAGGATTGTGGACTTGGGGTGAGGAGAGGGACAATCATGTCTAACTTATGGGTGAGGAACAAAAATATAGATGGGATGCAGTTATAGAAGGGTTATTGTTTTCCTTTGTTCTGCTTCCATGTCTGGCCTCAGTGGAGTTGCAACAGGCAGAAAATTGAGTGAGATCTATAGTTCAGGGAAAAGGGCTATGTTTTAGAGGAACTTTAAAAGATGTGGAAGAAAGGAAGATGCTCTTATGATGCTTTTTATTAGGTAGTGGGACCTAGAGATCCAAATGTGGTTTTGCTACTTCTTTTTTTGTTTGTTTTATCAAGTAATATGGCTAATTTATTGTTGTTCTTTTGTGATGTATGGCACAGAAGTTATATCAGAAGTTTTAAAATTGAGCTGTGTTTCTAGCTGTGTGAGATGACTCATCCTGCTCTGCAGGAGAGGGTGATGAGGCTGTGCTTCCATTTCTGTGAGATGTGTGTGCCGCCATCTTTGAAGAGCTTCCAAGCAGTGTGAAATCTGTGGGTGATGCCATAAATAAATACTGTGATTCTCTTTGTCCCTTACACTGTCTTCCTTTCTCTGGAGTTTGTAGAATAGTTCCTGCTGTATCCAAATGTCCACATTTATGATAAATCTTTTTCCTTCTGCCTCTTTTTTTGTTGCTTTCTGTGCATTTGTTAAGTTTTGTGAGAAGCAATGTGATAGCTTTAACTTGACCTTTGCCTGAATTAAAATTTCCATAAAAAGATCCTCTGGAATGAGACGGAAAATCACCCTGCCTCTGTTACAAGTAACTGAGAATTTTATTCAGGTTTTCCTAGTTAGCCAACCAGAGTTTCCTTATCCACATGTGTTTGAGGTATGAAGAAGGAAGAGTGGCTTTGTGATAGTATTGTATTTGTCTTGAGAGCACTCTGAACTCTAGGTTCAGACTTTGAACTAATCACATTTTGTGCTCTTTTATATCTTAAATATTTATGTGGTCAAGATTCATAGGACCTTGTTTCATTGTGATGTTAGAGCTGCAAATGGCACCAGAAGAGACAGTATTCCCTTTCCCCTCATTTGCCACTCATTCCTGTATGTATGCTGCTCATTGCATTCTGATACCTAAACAATATTTGGTGATATCTTGGTCAGTAATTAGAGAAAACCAGCTAACTTTCTGCTTAAGGGAAACTTGCACCACCTCCCCTCTCCAGCTCCTAATTTCAATGAGCATGTGAATGAAATCAGTATTCAGTATAACTCACCCTCCTTTCCCTTCCTGGCACCTGTTGTAGTGTTTACTGGACTATGGAGTACTAGAAAATAAGTACGCTACTTTGCTGTGAAGGACAGGGAAACAGCTGCTATTTTCCACTAGTCTTTCTGAGCCTGTTTTTTATCTTTTTACAGAAAAAGGCTTGGTTAAGGACAAAAAAAAAAAAGTACTTCAGAGAAAGTACAGTAATTTTGAACTCTGTCCTGTTAAGAAGGCGGTACATACGAAAAAAAATAATTATGTGAGTAGCAAGCCAGCGTCAAGAACTTTTATGAAACAAAGCCCATTTTCTTGTTCCACATCTTGGTTTTAGTTTCAGGAGGGTATATGTGTCACTAACATCCCCTAATCTCCAACAAACCCTTGTACACCTTAATCTGAGTCCATGGAGATGTGTAATACTTTATTTTAAAATCATAAATTCCAAAAAACAGGTTTCATTTTAGAAGGAAATATGGTGCAACACAATTAAAGCTTTTATCTGAGGGGAAAAAGAACAGTTTGTTCTTTTACCTTTGGGGTTGGGGAGGCTTCTGAGAAGTTCACACATTTATAAGTGTTAAGCGCTTTTTTGCTGGAGGCAGAGGAGGAGACCAGGCAGTTTGAAGAAACAAATCCATTCTGCCATGACTGACAGCAAGGATAGGATTCCAGGGCAAGTCACGTTGGTTGGCTTTCTTCGAGCAGGCACAATGGGTGAAATAAGCAGGACTGTACTTCTGAGGAAAATGTACTAAATTTGTCACACAGGCACCCTGGGAAGCAGTAACCTATTTCTTTGACAATAGCGTTATCTCTCTGTAGACTTTGCCACAGTAATGGTGAAAAGAGTTGGTTTCTTACTTGAATTACAGGCTGTTTCTCAGTTTTCTCTCTCCCCACCCCTTTCCAAAAATTAAACCCGTTGCCCAGGTTATAGCCACCCTTGATGTGAAAATTAACTGTTTCAGTGACTCAAATTTCTGCTGCCCCGCTGTAGCATAGTACACATCAACAGTGGTTATAGTCTATTCTGGAAGGCAGTAGTTGGGCAATTCAGCCCACATATAGGTAAGTTCAGCTGCATAAGATGGTGGCAGTGAGAAGGGACTGTAAGGGGAATATGAGAATTATTATTCCTGGGAGAGCTGGAAATAGCTGAGTGCCTAAGCAGGAGCTAAGCGTATTGTGAGGGAAGAGAGGCACAATGGCCTTGAACACAAGTCAAAAAGGCATTCGTGGGATACCTTGCTTTTTAAAATTCTTGGGTAAAGAAATCCCTTAAGCTGGTTTCTGTGGGAATGAGGGTTTGAATTTTAACTATTCAAGCATCCACTTATTACTCACTGTATGCAACTATTTTAAACATTCACCAGGCCAGTGTTTTGAAGGTGCATAATTGTGGACCTGTCATCTAATCTCTTCCCTCCTGTTAACACATGAAATGGCAATGTATGTGCACGTTCCAAACAGGTGACATTAAGAGGCAAAAATTCCTGTGGTGCTTTAATTTCTTTAATAGTCTCCTGCTGGACATGATAAATAAAATTCTAGTCATTAGGCAATGGAATTGTGTATATGACGAGAACAGGTGGAGTGATCTTAACTCACAGCCCTTTCAAAAGGGGAAAATTACAATAGTGGCACGTTTGATAACGTGGTAGTGTAACTTTTGGTGAAATGAAGTGCCACAAAAGAGGAATTATCTGCAAAGAAGTTGTCTTTAGTGCAAATGGAGGAACTGAAGACAGTAAGTTTTGGATTTTTGGGGGGGTTTTGGGTTTGGGTTTGTTCGGTTTTTTTGGCAGGAAGCAAATGAACTATTTATGGGTAAAAAAAAAAATACGGGGGGAAGCAGTTTTCAAACCAGACAAAAAGGGGGCTGGTTTGTTTAACATGTTCTCATTCTGTGCAATTAGATGTCTAATGGTAATTAGTGACAACTCAGGCTGACATCCTTCATCAAATTACACTTAAATCACCAATTCAAAATCTCTGCCTGGTGTGAGATGATGCTTTAGCATTTTTTTCCAGTCCCTTCCTTATGCTGTCATAACCTGCCTCTTCCCACAGCCACAAGTAGTCATGCTGATGGGCGGCATTCCATTGCTGGGATACTCGCAGTCATTGCCAAGGCAGATGCATGCAGAATTATCACAAATTTAAAGTAATTAAACATCTCAGACTATTTTTCCTGTTCTAGTCTCCCTTTGGGAGGTGTTTATTATATTATGTAAATATATTTGGAGTGGAAACTGTGATAAGGGTGTGGTGTCTGAGAGAATGGTGTATTGAATGATGAAGAGAGTAATGAACTCGCTCTGCGGGGCATCTATTTTGAGGCCTTCGAGAGGCGTTGTAAACAGAAGTGACCATAGGGTCCTGCATGCTATTGAAAGGATATTTTGCGAAGGGGAAGTGAAAATGCTTTGGAGTGGAATTATTTCTCAGTTGTCCCTCAGTGATTTTATGACAGAGCCAAAATTAAAATTCAGATCTCCCGTGACTCTTAGGAATCACGTCTTTACCATTTTTCTCTTTGTAGATGCTGTTCCTGTAGTCATTCTAACCCTAAAGTATTAAAAAAAGGTCTTGGAAGTGCATATAATAGAACCAACAAAAGGGCAAATTATTTGTAAGTTTTACTGTGAGATGCATCACATGAGTGAAGAGGAAGCAGGTGTGAGAAATACATTATCTTCTCCTGAAGACTCCTGTAACCACAAAATAAGCACCTTGTTTTATTGTTCAGTATTACACTTGCTCCATTTTAAGATGAAAGTTAAGCTCTAATCTCTTTTAGGCTCGTTTTGGTAACAGTGCAGTTGTGCAAGGCTTGTAGATTTTTACACTGAAGCTTCCTGTGCAAAGAGAAGAAATGGGAATGATATGCAGATACACAGCGTTGAATACCTTGATTAACTCTTGGAAGTTTTTCTATGCCAACTTTTTTCTGGGGGAGGGGGAAGCTTTCTGTTAGTTGCCTAGACAATCCTTGTGTCTCACTGGTGGAGTTGTGCTGTGTATGGCATTCCAAACCGCTGCTGTGAATGTGTGCTAAACCTGACTTAATTCAAGATCAAAATCCAGGGCTGAACATTGCTTCCTGTCCCATGTCTGTTCCAAGCCCTCTTTGTCTGCTGGGTGTTGTGATGCTGTGGTTGTGTTTCAGGTTGTCGCCAGTGCCAGACTGATTGCTTGCAGGAATAAATAGGAATTTGCACAAAATATATTACAGCAGTAAATAGGGCAGAGACTGTGTAGTCTCTGTCTCAGTACAAATGCTTGAGATGCGTGTTGTTTGATCAATAAGCCAGTTCTGCTTGTATAACTACCCAGACAGAAGCAAAATGTTAAAATGGCAGTGGCTTTGAAAAGGAGGTGGAGTGTTTTGTGAACATGAAAGCAAATAATGAAGGTGTTAAATACGTGTTTCCCAAATCCCAAGAAACCAGTCCAGCTGAGGCTGTTGCTGTTCGAAGTTATGGCTGGCCGCTGTAAGATGTAGTTGCAAAATCTACTTTTGCTGAAAGCTTTCTTGCTTACAGACAAAAAAACCGAAAACCAAAGAAACAAACAACCCCCCCAAACCACAAAACACCAACCCATCCCCAAAATTAAAACCAAAATCCCCCAAAACTTCACAAGTTAACTGCAGTCTGTGAAAAGCATACAGGCTAACCTTGCTGTCTTGGTGTGATTAAATGTGGTTTTGTTTTTCCCTTTAATAGGAGTAAAAGGGGAGGTGTCTGATCCAGGCTATCTTGATTATATTAGGTTTGGGGTGGTATCAGCTCTCTTAATTGCAGCTGATACATTATGCTCGGAGGTGTTTGTTTTGGTTTTTTTTTTTTTTTACCTACTGTAAAAGCAAGAGTTACGCAGCTAGTAACTCTTGATTTTGCAGTGTGTGTCAAATGAGCAACTTGGCACACACAGCTGTCTAAGACTGTAGAAGTGTCATCATATGATTGAAACCGACTATTTTCTATTAAAATTGATAGGAAAGTTCCTGTCCACATTGGTGGTGGCAGCCATATATGTATGTGTGTGTATGTATATTTTGTATATATTCACTGCTTTGATTTGCTGCTGCCATCATAATGCTATTCTTTACACCGCTGGGTTGCACGTGAAGGTTAGCAGGTTTGTAGCTGTCTTTAACTCAAGCATTAAAGGCTTGTGCTTTTAGATTGAGGGCCTGGGTTGGTCCCTGTAAGCAGCTATGTGGGATTAGCATGCTGTTATTGCCAGTGGGACAGTGATTGACTTGGAAATAGAAATTGAAGTCTCGAGATCTGTTTGCACTTCAATAGCATATGCAAAAAGTGCTTGTGTTTAGTCTTCTGAGAAATTCCAGTTCTCTATACTACCATATATTGAATTGATTGCTGAATAGTGATGTTGAGAAACATCAGCACCGTGCTTATACTGCAGCCCCAAATTTGTTTAAAGCTTTTGTTAAAGAATTTAACTGGAGGAAAACAATAACAAAACTATAACTTGGGGTGGAGGGGTGATCCAACATTCCTTTGAAAAATCGTGGTTTCTGGTGAATTGCCTGTATGAAGAAATAAATGCCACAACAACAAAAAAACCCTCAACAAACCAAACCCCCAAAAAACCCAAGAATATAACTGACCTGCACTGTCAGATTAATACTTGCAGGTTGTGTTCATATGCATTGTGTAGGATAAGTTGGTCTTGCTGCTTGATAATTAGGTCTAGTCAGAATATGTTCTAAGGGTGTCCTAGTATATTTGCTGCTAAGTCCTTTCTCCTGCAAATCCAAGTAGCTCTGATCACTTATCCCTCGATGATTATAGAGCTGTAAGGCCCTAGATACGAATCTGTACTTACCTGCAAACCAGGATTCATCTGATTTGTTCTGAGGGTTTTTTTTGCCAGCCAGCTTTGGGGATGTCTCAATATGTGTGTTATTTCAGCCGATGTTTTACAGTTATAAGAAATGTCATGTTTCTGATCTAATAATTTTTTTCATGGAATAAGCCTTCTGCTTCTAGTTCCTGTCAACCACTAAAGAAAAGAAGTCTAGCTATAAAAGTTTTGTATTTTTTTGTCTTCATTTCCACTGATTTCTTTTTTTATGCTATTTGTTCATTAGACAAGCTGAAAAAATGCTTACTAATATAGAAGAAACAAAAAGGGAACAAAACGGGAAATGCTTGATATTAACAAGCTTGATGTGGTGTTTGTAAGCATGACTGCCACTTATTTGTGCATATTCATCGTAGATGTACGTGTCATCTCTTTTTTCAGGTTCCTGAGCAGCAGCCAATTACTTTATGTAGTGGAGCTGAAGATACCAAGCATTATGAGGAGGGCAAGAAATGTGTGGAAGAATTAGCATTGTACCTCAAACCACTCAGCAGTGCAAGAGGTAGTTCCTGCATTGTTTCCTTTGAAAAAGAAAGCTGGAAACAAATAAGATGCAAAACAAACTATCCAAATGATTAGTTCGTCTGTTTGAAAAATGGATATAAACCTAGCTTAAAAACAGATTACGACAGATTTCCTACATGTTAAAGTTATGCCTTCACGGGGGAAGGGGGGGTGGAATTTAAAGGCATTATGTCAAAAATAATACTGAGAAAAGGCTGAGGTATTAGGCCAAGGTATGTGGCTGCGGTATAGTAAGTTGAAACAAACTTTGTAAGTTGAGTTGACCTCTGCAGACTAAGTAAAACTAAACAGATAATTCTGTGGTGGTGTAGGTTTTTGTTTCGGGGTTTTTTTTTTTTCATTTGAGTTCTGCTTTGTGTTGAGATAACTGTAGTAATGTAGCTTGTTTGAGGAGGAAGAATAAACTGAAATGAGAAAGTTACTGCATAGAAGATATAGGGAAATAAGTAATACACTGTTTATACAAGATCTTACACAAGAGCTGGGTCAATCCGAGTAATTCTAATTTGGAAAACTGCACTGGGCTCAAGAGTATGGATTTTATCTGTATTACATATGGTGGACTTGGAAAATCTGTCAACCCAAGTAGTAGAGGTGGGCATCATGGGTATCAGGTTTTCAAAAATTAATTTTTACAGAAAGCTGTCTCAAGCTTTTTCAACTAGTACGGTGTGATAGCAGTATTGCTCTGAGTAGTAGTGGCACAATGAACAAGCTCTGTGCTGTGGAACAAACTTGGTATGGCAGACCTATGTCTAGCAATTAACTTGTTCCTCTAACCTGGTTTCAGTGGCTCCCAGCACATTTGTGAATCACAGTTTTTGCACATAATAAAACATCACCTAAGCAGTTTTGAATTCGTTCAGTTTGGCTAGGCCAAAGCAGTGGAGATATCAGATACAGATAAGAAACTAAATGTCTTATGACAACAGACAAATGGTCAAAGGCTGCAGTGATCCTTGAAGCCCGTGAATAAGAGGACTGCACTATGGTCCTACCTGTGAATCCATATGGGAGGGTGCAAGACAGGCTTCCAACATGGGGAGAGAATTCATTAGAGGTTCCACCTTCTTGGAGAGCCAAATCAGTCAATCACAAGACAAACCTGTGGGAAAGCTGATTCCCAGGAACTGTTTGCTCTTAATGCTGAGCAAAGCAAAGTGACAAAAATGAACTTCTCGTATGCCTTCTCTAGTGTTCTGTTTAACGAAGTGGACATCAGGAGATTCAGGTTTGCACTTATATAGTACAGTGGTTGAAGGCTGGTGTAAGAAGAGGAGATATGAGGTAGTTTATTTTTTTTTCTGCTCTGCTTTGTTTTGAAGGTGTGGGTCTTAACAGTACTACTCAGAGCGTGCTAAGTCGTCCCATGCAAAGGAAACTTGTGACACTAGTTCATTGCCAGCTAGTGGAGGAAGAAGGGCGGATCAGAGCCATGCGTGCAGCGCGGTCACTTGGTGAAAGAACAGTCACAGAGCTCATTCTTCAACATCAAAATCCTCAGCAGCTCTCTTCCAATCTTTGGGCTGCAGTGAGAGCCAGAGGGTGCCAGTTTCTTGGACCAGGTAGGTAACATCACAGTAGTACTACTGTAATAGAAGCAATTCAGAGTTGAGGAGGATTGATAAATGGGTGTCAAATTGCCTGAGTGATTTTATTAGGCAGTGCCTTAATTTCTTCATAGTAAGTCTTCAGAATTAATGATTATTGGGCTGCTGTCATGGGCTTTCTCGTATTTTTAGTGCTTTTGCAAGTCTTCTATAAAATTCAGAGGAATGTGTGTCATTTTGTTCTTGTGATAAGATACAATGAGAAGTAGTTTCTTACTTGCTATTCTTTGAAGAAGACCCTTCTAGAAAAAATAAGGTTACTAGAAGTGACTAGACATGGCTTCTTTTCCTTCTCTAGGGTAATAAACATACAAAACTATTGTGGGGAGAGATTTGTTACATTTGGGGTATGTGTCTATGCATTTCTAAAAAGTTACGTACTTAGAGATTAAACTCCTTTTCATAGAATACTAAAACAACTTGCTTAAAAAAATTAATGAAGTCTCATTACTGAAAATGTAGACTTCGCTTGTTGAGGACCAACAAAAATAATGCCTTGAAATATAAAGCCAATTTCTTGGAATAGAGAACAAAATAGAGACTCTTTTCCCCACTGAAACGAATGAAGGAAGACTAACTTTGGGATGCTAACTTTTGCACCACTGCAGGGAAGAGAGAGGCTTGTTACCTAGCAAAATATGCAGTGCTACAGCACCTAACTTACTTGTGTGGACACTAATTGCTCTTTTACCTGCATGAGAACCAACCTTGCCCTTCCTCAGCCTGTCAGCTTTTTATGCTGGGATAGGTGTGGGATGTACATAATACACTTTGAAAACTCTAATATTAATAATAGAGAGAGATGTGTAGACAGGAATGAAGAAGTCTTCCTATCACCTGATACCCAATACAGAACAAATAATAATAATAAAAATTTAAAAGTCCTATTTCCCCAGTCACAGTCTGGGAGGCTGGAAGTATTCCTTCCTTCTTTTCCTTCCCTTCTTGCTCAGCTCCTTTTCCTGTCTGTGAATTTGTGTGCATTGGCGGGGGGGGTAGCTGATTTCCCACTTGCAGAAAAACAAGAAACAGTGCAGAAATCTTTCTTGGTCTTCTCTCATCTTTTGTCTCTTCACATTTCCCCCCCCACACACCAGCAATGCAAGAGGAGGCTTTAAAGCTGGTTCTACTGGCTCTGGAAGATGGATCTGCTTTGTCACGAAAGGTCTTGGTTCTCTTTGTGGTTCAGAGGCTGGAGCCGCGATTTCCTCAGGCTTCTAAAACTAGCATTGGGCACGTTGTCCAGCTTCTTTACAGAGCCTCGTGTTTCAAGGTACGAAGAAGATTCTGCTTGGAGATTTCATAATGCTGTGAAAACTATTGTTTTTCATTTTCAATTTTCATTGTCTTTTAACATCAGATGTGCCTAAAAATATGTGTAGTTATAGAAAGTATTACGTGTTAAGTCTCATGTGTTCGGAGAGTTCTTTGTTGTACAGCTGTGATGGCAATGTAGGCTGAAATTGCAACTTTAAGCTGTAAAGCTAGGTTTTGACTCTGTCCAGGTTTAATAGATGCACAGTAACAAAACCTGTATCTAAGTCAGCATAACTTATCCTTAGAAGAGGGTTAAAGCTGGAAAATCCCCAGTTCTGTTAATTGAGTAGTAGTGTGGTCAGAAACAAAGAAATACGAGGCTCTTTGATATCCGAGTTGTATGAGGAGAACTTAAGCTGCTTATTGCACTTGCAGTATTTAATTGTCCATTCCTAGGTGTTCAACTTAAATGTCATTCACTGTTGCTAAATGAGGAGAAAAATGCTTTGTTGCTACTAATTGTACCCTCAGACAAAATTCTGCAATACAAACAAAAAGCCTTGATTGGAGAAGTAAGATGTGGATGCGGTAGTGTCATTTAGGAATTGTGACACTTCCTCCAATATCTAGGTCAGAGTCCGAGAAAGTGTTTTTTTTTTTTTGGTATCCATTTCATAGGGGTTCCAGTTTATGAAAAGTGTGTTATTTTAGTAGGAACTAGTGTTCATTGCATAGTTTCATAGTTCAATTTCCTTTGGGAAGAAGAACTTAGTTGCTGACTGAAGATTTCACTTGCCTTGGACTTTACATAATGTCTGGCTTATCCTGCTTAATTGTATTTGGCTCGTTTCTCCCCACTAGGTGACAAAGCGAGATGAGGATTCCTCCCTGATGCAACTGAAGGAAGAATTTCGGACTTACGAAGCTCTGAGAAGGGAACATGATTCACAGATAGTTCAAATCGCTATGGAAGCAGGTTTACGCATTGCACCAGATCAGTGGTCCTCACTGTTATACGGAGACCAGTCTCACAAATCCCACATGCAGTCTATCATTGACAAGGTAAAGCAACCTAAAATCAGCCTAGTCTATCTTGTTTGCAACTGTAGTAGATTTAAATGCTTGTAACATTAATTTACAGATTGTGCCCATGTGTACTCAGCTTACCCATTAATCATTTGCCTGGTTGTTTCAAAACCTGTAATGGCCTAAATAATTAGAATATATATTTGTAACCTAATGGATCTTAGTCCCTCTGCCATCCTGCTATCTCTTTTTCTACTTTACCTCTTTCTGCAGAGGTGAAGCCACAAAGGTTAGCTACACAGCTGAGATGTGTCCTTTCTGAACAGCTGATAACTGCCAATATAGTAACGGAGGTTAATGGTTCATATTTCCAGGCAGGAAGCTAGCTGTCTTTATTCTTCAACCATCTTGCTCTTTGTTGTCTGCTGTACTAGGTTTAAAGCCGGGTGCAACCTGTTGGTTTGGGAACTGGACATACTAGGCTCTTCAGAAATCTAAATTAAATGGTTTCTAATATTCTGTATTTTTTTTCTGGGTGTTAGTGCAACACAGAAAAGAAAGAGATCACATTGCTAGAAATAATACCAGCCTTCGCTTTGTCTATTTAGAGAGCTGTATTTTAACCTGTGGTGTCAGAGAGTAGTGCATTCTTAATGCAGGAGAAGGAATTTAATAGAAAGTGCTGAAATGGGCTTGTGTGAAAAACACTAGTCCGGTTTTGGAAGACAGCTCTTGTGAGCTTGTGGAGCAACCTTCAGAAACAACGAGGATTGCTTTGCCTGTAGAAAGTTAATTATTATAATTTTTTTAAGTTGCAGACCCCAGCCTCATTTGCACAGAGTGTTCAGGAATTAACTATTGCTCTTCAGAGGACTGGAGATCCAGCTAACCTGAATCGTCTTCGACCTCACCTAGAGCTCCTGGCAAATATTGATCCCAGTCCGGGTAAGTCTAGATGTTTTATAAAAACCTTTAACTTGCAGTTTAGCAAGAGGTGGTTAACACTGTTGAAGGACTGAAAGCTGTTCATCAGGTGGAAGGAAACATCCTCTAACTCATAAACTTAAGACTCTTGAGTGGTATTCATAACCAGCCTGGGAACAGCAGTAATCTGTGTGAGGAACTGAACTCTTCTGAAGCTAGAATAGGTTTCAAAATTATGGCAGGAATGGTTTCACCACTTCTCTGAAGAGAGCTTCCTTGTCTGACAGCACTGGGTGAGCATGGATGAGGATGTTGAATACATATAATCCTGTGAGGTTACATGGTGTATACTTGATATTGGGCAATGCTAACTGGGGGGAGTGGCAGCAGTCTTAGCTTCCTCATTTTCCCTTTTTTAGCACACATGCTGCTATTTCCAAACAGATTTGCAAAGCAACAGGAAGACTGATAGAACCACTATGCTTAATGCAATGCTTTAGCTGTCACTCTGAGATCTTTTTCTCTCCAGTTCTTTACCAGAGCAAATAACTTGCATACAAATTAGGGGAAGTCTTCAAGAAAACACTTACCAGATTAAGGACTTCCATTAACATATCTAAAAATTTTGTGTCTTTTTCTTTGTTCTAGAAATTCTATATATTAATTTTTGATCTGAGGTCTCTAGCCTGCAGACATTACACTTGGAACACTCTTGTGAATGCGGCTTAAAATCATAAGGCATCTTCTCTGTAAACAATTTTGGATTCCAAAGTAGAATTTTGATAGATTGAATAGACAGAAGCTGGACAAAAATCAGTCTAGACAAGAAAGATTTGTTATCCTAGGGAATTTAGTATTTTTCTTGTTAATACATAATTCTGCAAAGGTATGAAAGACAGTCTGGGAAGGGGAAGTTAGTTGGAAAGAATATAACTGGGAAATAAAATCTAAGCTGTTGACAGAGGAGAGAGAGGGATATTGTTGAAAAAGTCAGCAGCACTGTGAGGGCGGACCACTTGAGGGAGAAGGGAAGGAGAGTGGCTGAAGTTTCATTTTATGCTTGCTAGTATTTGTAGAATCAATATTAAAATAGTGTGAAGGCCTAAACTATGGCTTCAGGAGATTAAAAATTTTAGTTCTTGGTTTATGTTTGTTTAAACAAATGAACTTACCTTTCAAATGAGGACCAGTTGTACTTTGCAGTTAAAGGAGATGTAGTGCTTTCTTCACAAATCTTTCATACTGTAATAAACCAGGGACAAAATTGTGTGCACACTGCAAATTTGTTAGCCAGGCTGATATGGAAAGTAGAATCACTAATAGCCTCACTCAGTTTCAGTAGGTGAGTCTGATCTTGATGTTTCTCCTCTGTGCTGTTCAGTCACTTCCCTGCTGTTCTGAAGGTCTGTTGAAGTTCCTCTGAAAGGATTTAGTCCTTGTGAGCAGAGTAGAATGTAATTGTGCTAAAGATCTTGCAAGGTGTTAGTGAAGCACTTTTGAGGTCCTACATTTTGCAGCAGAGTGTGTAGGCACATGGCAGCAGTGACATCTCCTGTAACAGATAAAATTATTAGAAAAATAAATCGGCTAGAAAGAAGGGCCTGTATAGAATGAAGGCTGTACAATTTATTCACACTGCTGTATGTTAGATGGTGGTCTGATAATATAGATTTGCTTTGTGATGTTTTTCCATGTGAGAGGCATCAATTTCTGTTACTGTTCAGTGACTGCCTGCGTGATCTAGGCTAGTGATGATGGTATTTGTACAGAACGATTTTTATCTACAGCAGTCTGAATGCGAAGAGGGATTTTCAGCCCTATTTTTTTCCATTATATGTAGAATTTGTACAGTGCATTTACTCTCGAGTTCTTGTGGTATATAAAAGTTTTGGTAAAAGGAATTAATTTGACTTGCTAATAATAGCCTTGCTGGCTCATTTCATAAATTGTGTGGTTCAATCTTGAGTCTATAGGTAGCTTTATTCTTTAAGTGGTACATATCCCTGAATAAAGGTGCTGAGCACTTCTTATCTAATGGTGCGTGTTTCCAATAAAATAATTTTGGCTGTCTAGTGAAGTTGTGTGATACTGATGGATTCTTTGTACCTGGTTTTGGCAAATCCTTCTGACTTTTTTTATTCTCTGTTTGCTGTTAATGCAATAGATGCTCCACCTCCAACATGGGAACAACTGGAAAATGGACTAGTTGCTGTGAGGACTGTGGTTCATGGCTTAGTTGATTATATCCAGAATCACAGCAAGAAAGGAACAGATCAGCAACAGGTAAAAGCTCAATTATTTAGGAAATGCTTACCCCTAAATTTTATTGACTGTATCTAATAGTAGAGGTTTACTAATGTCATCTGGAGAGATTTGGTTTGACAAAGAGCTAGCTGATTAAAAATATCACTGCTGTGTCATACTTATCAAAAAAGAAACAAACAAGAAAGGAAAAAACCCAAGCCCAAAATAACACAACCCCCCTCCAATACCTGTTGCATTAATTTACACAGCTCACGAGTATGCAAAGAAAACAGTGTGATCCTGCTGCAAGATTAGGGAAATGAATAAACAACCCTTCTGATTAGAGGGTGGGGAAGAGAAGCTGGGGTGCCTTAGCCCTACGATCTGTGGGAATTTTCTTGGGTTTGTTTTAATGTGACACATTTCAGCCAGATGGCTCTGTGTTTAATGGAATTATTCTTATACCTGTGCTTAATATTCTGTAAAGTTTAAAGATTTGGGAAGACTTAATATAAAGGTACAATCCAAGTTCCTAGAGCAAAATTTTTTTTCAGAAATGAAATGTTGTTGCCAAATATATATATAGACTTATCTCGTAGTTATCTTATCACATATTCCTTTGATCTCATTTGATGTATAGCTAAGTTGATACAAATGCTAGCTGCTGCTGAAAGAGCTGCTTATCACACATTCCCACTCCCTCCCTTGTTTTGGCACTTATCCTCTTGGAGAGCTGGTTTGGGGAGCTGAACTAGTAGAAAGATTATCTCTGCCAAAAAAAAGAAAAAAAAAAAAAAGGCAAAATCAGAGTGAATTATTTCTGCTCTTCTACCTTTTTGCATTCACTCATTCACTGGGATGCCTAATGAGCACTGTTACCAGCAAAAGGAAAAGCAGTAGGAATACACAAGTGGAAATCGGCGTGGGAAAAACAGTGAGAGTTTTTGTTCTGGTGAGACCATCGCCTAGACCTGGTACATGTTGTGCTGCTTGGAAGGGAACCCAAAGCCTCCTAAGTGGGGAAGGAGACATCTGCTGAGTATTGGGCAGAGTTTTGCTGGCTGGCAGCAGTGGCCAGCAGAGGGCTGTGCAGCCTATGTACACCCTGCCTAAATCCTCGTTTTCAGTTTTTTTCAGAACAGGGGGGGGGGGGAAGGGGGGAAATCAGTTTGGGGATGGGTTCTTACAGATTTACATCTTTTGGCTGAATTTCTCAGAAATTACAGACCTTTCCCTCAGTGGGAACATTGATAGGGTATTTCTGCCTCTGATTTAATTCTGCCATAAAAACTGTAGGAACTTAAAGGTCTTTGAGACCACCTTTGGCCTTCTGTGAAAATTTATTTAGACTGGTAAACAAATGGGCATACATGCAGGTAGCAAGATTGCAGTAAGTCGTTGTTTCTTGGGAAACTTCAAAATACAGAAGACAGCCTATAGCCTGCTGATCTGGGTAGGAGTAAGATTGCATCCTCAACTGTTGGCGGAAATAGTTATCATAGATAGCTAAGAGATTTTTAGCCCAAAGGTGAAGTAAAAGGGAACTTGATGAAATTTAGCTCTCATAAAGATCAAAGGGATACTTAAGTGCTGGTTTTCGCTAACAGAAAGCAAGGGAAAAGTAACTGACCAAATTGTATTTATTTTCAATCTACCACAAAGCTTGATGAATATTTGGCAATTTCTGATTAAGCATGGTTATTTTTTTCAGCCTATATCAGATTTGTCCACTTAACTGTTTCCTGAAACATAAGCTGTGTTCCAATCGAGCTGAGTGAGGAAATTGAATAAAAATTTTTAAAAACCTGATGGTGACTTAGTTGCCAAAATACCTACTCTTGAATCTGTTAGTTCTGTTGAAGAACCAAGCATGAATACTGCTCCAGTCGTTTATTTCACATTAGGTACTTTTGGAACACTTAAATTGAGGGAATTGCCGAAAGTCAATTTTTTTTTTATAATCTTTTTTTTAAAATCCTCTTTTTAATAAGAGGATACATTTAGCTCTTGGTTAAGAGCACTTATATTTGGGTATCTCACCTGGTTTCTTTAACCTTGTCAGCCTCCTCAGCACAGCAAGTACAAGACATACATGTGCCGAGACATGAAACAGAGAGGAGGATGCCCTCGAGGGGCCAGCTGCACCTTTGCACATTCTCAGGAGGAGCTAGAAAAGTAAGTGCACCTCCTATGGTAGAAAACAGTCTGATCTTTGTTTCATCTTATCCATAAGAGTTATTTATCATATCTAGGAATGGGGGGAGGAGACATAACTTCATCTTTTACGTTAGCAAGAAATAATGTGAAAAACTTGGAACTGTCATCTCTCAGGTTTTGGAACTATTTGTCTTTAAACATAGGATATTTTGCTTTGTTCAGCAGTAATGTGGCTCTGAAAGTTTGATGTTTACACAAGTGTTATTTGAGATTTTGGGGGTGGGCTGTTTTTCTTAAGTGTGACTAAACATTCTGTTTGACTGCATCCGTTCTGGTCATTTGTTTGTGTGTATTTCTCATCTTGCCTTCATACTCAAGTGTGAGAAGTAGGTTGCTGGCAGTTTTCCAGATGTATGGATTCTCTTGTTCTGTGCTGCTAGGGCTATCCAGAGAGCTAAAAACGAGCATCACAAGCTTGCTTTCTGCAACAGTTATTCTTTGAAACTCTTTGAGGTATTGCGCATGCAGTAACCTAAAAGTGGTTAAAGCTATTGCTGAAGAGTTAAAAAATGGTGGTTATATGAAGTCTGTGGGAAATGAGCAAGCTACTTCTGTTCTGAATGTTTTACTTTTTTTGAAAGTAAAATGGATTGTTTAAGAGTTAAAAGAAATAAATACAATGTATTTTATGCAGTATGACTCTTACTTGTTTTGGGGGGCTAAAAGCATTCGCAACTTTCAAGAAAAGGCACTTTTTTACTCAGAAGAAAACACCAAAGATTTGGAAATGGTATGCAGGCTTTTTTTTTTCCTTTAAAAATCTAAAACTTGAAGTATTACTATGTCAGTTCATTGGCTGTATGGCCAGCATGCAGTGCATAGGCAAAACAGGAAGGAAAAAAAAAAAAAAGCAGAGCACGTGTTGTTAGAATGACAAAGGCAGTTATTCAAATGAACAGAGAATAGGACTTTGATACTGGTGTTCTGCAGAAACAGTTGGGGTTTTTCCCCATTTGTCATGGTGTTAAGAAAGTGGAGCTTGGTAGTGCTGGTTTGGATGGTTAACAAATGTGGTGAGTCAGTGCCTCTGAACTAGTTGTATGTATCAAGAAGGACTGTTCATCAGCTTTGCAGGTGGAAGAGGCCTCTTTTATCCAGACTGGATTATATGGCTATGTAATAATATTGTTGTGGGGTGAAGTGAATGCTTGTTCTGTTTCAGGTTGCAGCAGTTTCTGTAGGTGGTTGGGGAACTTTGAGTTCCTATTCTTCCTTGTACCTTTTATCTTTGCTTAATTCCTTTGAGCAGATATTGCATTAGTGTTCCTACTTTTAAAAATGTTCAGTATGAATAATATGCATTGCTGTTGCTATGTAGGTCTTGTATATCTATATATAGCTTAAGTTTCCAGGAAGGTAATGGGGAAGTATGTGGTAATGCCTTAGATAGCAAATTACAATCGACGCTCGCTTAAACAGCAGCTGTGGTGTCTCTTTGGCAAGGGACAAGGACCTGATGTGCATAGGCAAGTATTGCACTCTTTTAGATTGTTTTTGTGTCCTGCACATGTGGAGACTGCAACAAAGATTCATAAAATTGTCCAGAAAAATCCAGAGGGCAGCACTGTGCAACTTCTATTCTTTCTAAGTATTTTATCATAGGGGGTGCTATATAAACTCTTTCTGTCACCTTTGATTGAATGGGTGTCTATACATCCATGCCTGTCTCTTGAGCATACTGTTGTGTTCTAGATGAGTGGGCAAGGATGGCCAGTCGTCCTCATCTTGCAAGGTATGTAAAAGCCTTCAGAGAGCCAGGAGCCATGAGATAGTGTACCTCCAAGAGACCTGATGGGAGGCTGATGTCCAGAAGTAATTTGCAGGGAGAACATAGCAGGACATTGGGAAACCACTGCTGCTGCTTTGCAGGGAGAAACTGGTTTGGGTATTGAGCAGGTTGCCAAAGTAAAGCCGTAAATTCATCCTGGGGAGCTCACTTCTGACTTGCATGGGCTGACATGAGATGCCAGAACGACTTTTGAGCAGCATATATTTAGAGAGCTGTAGTCTGTCCCTACTCAGGTGATTCTAATGACCTGGTTTGTTTACTTCCTTTTAATGCATTCTGAATGATGATCACTGTCAACACTATGTAGCTTGAATTTATTGTTTACTTATGGTAAAGATTAATCCAGCCAGGAAACTGGGGTGTTGATGGAGAGCTAGGAAGGTGGCTAAGGTGAACCGTTAGAGATGAACAGCTCAAATCTATATAGCAAGATCGCGCTTTGACTGACTCTATAGTCAGTCACGTCTAAAAACCCAAACAACCACAACAACAAAAAACCTTTTTGCTTCTGTTGCATTGCTGTTAGTGCTGTGTATGTGGGCAAACATAGAGATTATCTGAAGACTGAGTAATAGAGTATAATTGCCCCCTTTTTTTATTTTCTACAATAATGTGTGTGCCTTCCTAGTCTGTGTTACTATCCCACTTTGCTTGTTAAATATGATATGAAAGTGTTGGCTTCAGCCCTACTGAAACCTTCTTGCATGGGGAATGACCTCTTGTTGCACAGTATAAACAGCAGCAACACTCAGGTCTACAAATATGCCCTTCCACTTGCGTTCTGGTATTTAAGCTAATGGCAGGATCTTTAGTGGAGGACCTTCAGCTCTGGAATTGTCTCTCTTTGTGGGTCCAGTACTGTCAGTCTGCTGATTTTTGTGGAACATTAGTTAAAAGGCTCATGTTAGTTCAGACTTATCAGAAGCAGTTAGATTTTTTGAATTGCAGTGTGTTCCTACGAGTTTTTAACTCTCAAGTCATTTAATTTATCAGACAATGTAAATGTTGTGAGCTGTCTATTGGTATAGTAACATAAATCTTAAACTGTGTTTTGAAGATGTCACATGGCAATAAAGGCTTGACTTGGCTTATTGTTGGACAAATGGTGCAAAAGGGAATCTGTTCATCTTTTGTCATTCATTTTCTGCTATTAGTTTCTTCTCTGAATAAAGTAGACTTGAAAAGTCTGTGATTTTTTTTTTTCTTTATTCTGAATCTTCTGTTACTATAGGTAGTCTTTTACGTAATACTTAGTTTTGATTTTCTTCTGTACCGTTGAAACGTATATATGTATAGGAAATAAGAATTTTAAACTTGCTGCGTGAAGTTTAGCTGTGAATTCTTGGTGTACTTGTCATTAAAAATCCATCCGTGTTCTTCTGATTGAAACTGCTGTGAACAGTTCAAATAGCAGTGAAGTTTTATTCTGACAGATATTCATAATAAATTTCTCACAAGCCCTTACGAAACTTAAATTCAAACTTGAAGCTTTCAGTAGCATCTATGTTTGAAAAATCTTGAAAATGCAGCTCCTTTTTATTTTTTTGTTTCAATTTTTGATGTGTGGCTTCTTTTTCTAAAGATTCCGTAAAATGAACAAGCGTCTGGTTCCCCGAAGACCCCTGAGTGCCTCCCTGGGCCAGCTAAATGAGGTGGGCCTGCCTTCAGGAGCTATCCTCTCAGAGGAAGGGGGAGTGGACTTGCCCAATAGGAAAACTTCTGCTCTGCCAAATGGAATTGTGTCAACAGGCAGCACAGTGACGCAACTTATTTCTCGAGGGACTGACTCCAGTTACGAAAATGCTCTGAAGCCAGGGAAGATGGACCATCTGAGTAGCAGTGCCCCTGGATCCCCTCCTGACTTGTACGGGTCTTCCTAACTGTTGTTCAAAATGTCATATGTGTAAATATGCAGTAGAAACAAAGTAAACCCACTCTCTAGAAAACAAACGGAACAGGTTTTGGGGGGTTGTTTGGGGGGTTGGTATGGTTTTTTTTTTTAATGATTAAAGAGTAGAGTAGAAATCTAAAGCTAATAAACTGCTTTGCTTCCCTGTTTGTTTATATTTTAATTGGAGAAGGAAAAGGTGAAGTAAGACTTCAGAAGGTGGAATATAGACAGAGAACAGCGTTTTAAAGTAGAGCGTGCTATATCAGGCCTAGTGAGCAGTGCCATCTTTCTATTTTTTAGGCTGGAATCTGTCCCCAAGAGCTCTATTCCTGCCTTACCAGTGAACCCTCATCCTGTGCCTGCTCGGGCACCAACAGATCTGCCTTCAGTGTCTGTCACCAAGCAGTTGCAAATGGTACCACGAGGGTCTCAGTTGTATAATGCTCAGCAAGCAGATATGTTTTATCCAGATCCTAGAGGAGCTGCTCCACAATTTGAGCCAGCACCATACCAACAAGGTAAATTTGAGACAAAGATCTTAATCTTCGTATTGATTTTATTCTTTCTTCCCATTCTGGTGTTTACTTAAGCCCTTAAGGTAGTTTTCTTGCATATCACATGAGCTATAGGCACTAGTGTGGTGATGGCATAATAAAATGGAAATTGGAAGGCTTTTTATGTCTTGACTGAGAACTTTAATGCAAGTGAAAACAGAGGTTTGTGTCCATACAGTGTAGCAAATCCTTCTTTCTTCAATTCTCCCCAACTGGGCTACATCAGGGATCTGGTAAACCTTAAATATGACTCTGGGAAAATGGAAATAAAGCATAACCAGCAGAGGGGTTTATGCTTGCAGGGTGAAAGTGTTTATGTCCTTAATGAAAAGTGTGTGAGTGTTTCAGAAATGTCTGCACATGCATGTATTGGGTAGACACAAGTGAAATTAGAGAAGGGCTGGACAGAAAAAAAAAATCATACATAAGGAAATAAGAGGAAAAGTTCTAAGTATAAAGAAACCAGGTGGAGAAAGATAATATTGAAGGGGATTAAAAAAAAGGTATGGCTATATATAAATATAGGGAATGATTCTTTTGCAACATAAGATTGGAGAGAGAAATGACAAAAAGTGAAGTTAATATGAAAGAAAAATAAGGAATGAAAGACCAAAAGAAGTGGAAACAAGAAAAAGCCCTGGAAAGGAATGGGGGGACGGGGGCAGGAAACATTTTTGAGAAAGTTGCAGAGCACTTTGAAGACGGGGTGGGGGGGGGCAGCTTGCATTTGAATTATTGCGTGCAAATGAAGATCCGAGTTGTCCATAAAATTTGATGCACATGTTGATGGTGATGTGCACATATTCATGTGTATTTTTGAACTACCCAGAGATCCTGGATAGGTTACTAAAATCTTCAAGTATCTAGGAGTTGTGATCTTGGAAGTCTTTGGTGACTCACAGTAATGAAATTTCCTTCTGCTGTTCAAGAGATAGAACAAATCTTGAGATAACTCTAAATTCTAATTAATCCAAGTTTCTTTTCACAGGCAGTGGCTCTGATATGTTTAGACAAATTGAATTTTAGTTGCATGGATAAAGATGTACAGACTAATCAGTTTACTTTTACGTCTTGTGTAGCTAACAGCATTCATACGAATGTGCAGAGACGTTCTAGTGAATTATTTTTGTTTGGTATGCTAGCAGGACTTCTGTGGCACCTGTGGTGGGATCAGTCTCATCACTTCTTCTCCAGCTACTGTAACCTTTACACCTGGTATCTTATTTAGATACTTAAACTGTGTCATTCAAGCTTTGGATCAACTCTTGCTTTTTCTAGGTGTTTTGTGGTTAATTTTTGAGTAGAAATACTGGTTAGACAGTGGGGGCAAATAACAAATGTGAATTAAATTATACCATTCTCTTCATGATACTTGTAGACTGGAGTATTTGAAACAATTTGATTTTGTGGACAGTTGTAGTAATCACTTTATCTTGTTTGTGTGTTTTCCTCTTGCCTTATTTCAGGAGTTTACTATCCCACCCAGTCCATGTCTCGCTTTGTCCGACCTCCTCCATCAGCTCCTGAACCTGGTCCACCTTATTTAGACCATTACCCACCCTACCTTCAGGATCGTGTCGTGAGCCCACAGTACACGCAGCCGCAGCAGTATCCTCCTATGGGACAACCCATATACCCACCGCACTATGACAGCCGTCGCGTATATCCCCCTGTCCAGACATATCAGCGAGAGGAGATTGTCCGAGGAAGCCCTGTACCTATTGAAATTCCCCAAACAGCTGTACCTTCCTACGTACCTGAATCCAGAGACAGATACCAGCAAGCAGAGGGTTATTGCCCAGTGGCTCCACACCTCAGTCAGATCAGACCTTCGTGCCACAGGGTATGGTTTTTATATTGTGTTTTTGTAGTTGTTTGAGAAAGAAAATATAAACTACTTGAGAAGTTGGATATTTTTGCAGTAAGGTTTTGTGAGGAATTAGAAGTTTGAACTTTAAGAAGGGGTATACTCGACGAAGCTGATCAAAAACTGGAAGGCAGTTTAGTTACTAGTCAACTCTGTCATTGTAATGATGTTAATATGTAAAAGAGTAGGCTGCTACTTTGTGCTTGAAGTAGAAAACCATTGTAATTAATTTTGGAAGTCTCATATGGCCCTGACTTCTCCAACAAAGATTAGGCTGGAGAGGGCCACTCTCTTTCTAGTGCAGATTAAATACAGTGTGTGCAAGTGGTCGTGTGTGGGTTCTTGTACTGTCCATCTACGACTGACCACCTCTGTGCCTAAATAAATAAATATGCATACATACATCCCTTGATAAAGGAACTAAAAATTCTGCTCTTCCAAATTTTAGCTACTTTTAAGATTGCTAACTGGAGGGTCTTCCTACTAGAAGTGTACAAACTTGTTCTGGTGATCACCAGCTGGAATTGAGTCCTGTAGAGTAGTTGGACTTAGTAGCTGTCATTCAGATTAAAGGCTCTGAATCATATTGCTGAGTCCATGAAGTATTTTTGAAGTAGCTTATAGAGTTACCAGTTTTGTTTGACACATTTTGGGATGTTTAGTTCTGTTGCAAAATGAAAAATAAATGCAAACTAACTGTGACTAGGTTATGTTCTATAGAAGTCTACCTATTTCCCCCATATGACTGAAATGGGGACTTGCCATGCTAGAACATGTTCCAATGGAAACTTTGCCAAGTTGGAACGCAGACTCATGTTGAGCTACCTGTGAGTTAAAAGATTAGTAGTTTTAAGGTTAGAAACACTGGGTTAGTTGAGAAACTGATGAGTTCTAGGCAAACAACATTCCTTACCTTTGGGGTGTCCTGAACTAACATTCTGGCCAGTGAAGGAACATGCATGTCCTATATTAAACATGGAAGTTAATAGGCAGACTTTAACAAAGTGACCATTACTTATTATTGTAATGACAATGTCTATTCACTATATTTCCCTTTTCTTGCAGTATATGATTGCCATATTTTTTAACATATTTCTGTCTTCGTTTCAGCCGCATCCCAGCCTGGATGAACTTCACCGACGAAGGAAAGAGATCATGGCCCAGCTAGAAGAGAGGAAGGTGATTTCTCCACCTCCTTTTGCACCATCACCAACCTTGCCTCATCCTTTTCATTCAGAGGAGGTAAGCATACTTTGACAAAAATGTGACTTAATAGCGTGTTTAGAAAATACTTTGGAGTTTGTGTGTGCTGATAGGTGAAGACAACAAGAAAATCGGAACAGTACAGTGTTGGGGGGTGTAGATTTTGTGATCTAGGTGGGAAGCCCTTACAGTGCAGTCTCCAGTCTCTCGAGTAGCTGTTGGTTCTCTGATCTACCACTGATTCTAAGCTATCTGGTTTTGAGGCAACTAAGAGAATTAGTTTTGAGCCATTATTAACTGAAGTAGTCAGTTTTTACTGTTACTGGACTTCATTTCATTTGCTCCTGACATGTTTAGAGTTAAGTAACAGCTTTGTAGAGTTGTTTTTCTTCTTAAACAATATCAAAATATCACTTTCATACTGGCCAAGTGAACAGTCAGCACTGGGAGTGTAGCCAGGCAATCAGAATTTCACACATTTCATGCTTGCCATGGCCCAATTCCAAATGGTGATGTATTCAATAAAAAAATAATCCTGGTGATGTTTTTCTTCAAGTTCACTGCTGCTGAACTATGTAGTGGTGGCTGTGAAGCTGCTTCTTCCCTTCACTTACAGAACCAGATTTTTGTGTTTGTACAGTACTTGGATGAAGACCTGAAAGTAGCTGGGAAATACAAAGGAAATGACTATAGCCAGTACTCTCCCTGGTCCTGTGACACCATCGGCTCCTACATTGGAACCAAAGATGCAAAACCCAAAGATGTTGTGGCAGCAAGGAGTGTGGAGATGGCGGTATGTGTAGGGATTAGGGGAACACAGAAGAAAAGTTGATGCTTCTCTGGGCTGGGGAGGACTCTTTCATATGCTTTCCAGGATGACAGCAGTGCTTATATTTAAGCTCAAAAGTTCATTACAGTCAAAGAATGCATTTGCAAGTGTGCAGAGTGCTTTGTTTTCAAAGTTATGAACAGTCCTACATCTGTGTAGCTGTTTTAAAATTCTGGGTATAACCACTCTGCTCTAAAACCATGTATAGCAAGAGATATTTTGCCATGATTCTTTACACTTGCTTGAAATCCAAAAATGACTCTGTAGTGGCAGCTTGTCAATTAAACGTGTCTATCTATTGTTTCCTGTACTACTTTGTGTCAGAGGGAGATGGTGTAATTCAACTTTGTGCTATTAATTCCCGTTAAGGTGACTGTGACTGCTGTTAACAATATTATTAGTTTTTACTTGAAGGACTATGATTTGTGACCGCAAGAATACCCAAAACTTGCATGAAGCCTTTGAGAAGCATAGTCATAACGTAATACTAGGCTGATTCTTCTTGAAGGCAATTTCTAACTCTGTGCTGTGCTTATTCAGTCTTTCACTGAAGCTGTGGGTGTCTGGCTGTGATCTTATTTTGTGCTGCTGCATTTTTGCTAGGTCAGTTTTGCAAGGAGAAAGGGCTGCTAGGGTGTCATTGTTGGGAGTCGTGAATGTAGAAGAAAAGAAATAGAATTCTGAAATACTGCCGCTATTCTTTCTTCCTAATTTTTAGGCATCACTGAGCAGCAGGAAGTACACTGGTAGCCCATGCAAGTAGGAAGACATTCAAGTCTTCAAGAGAAAGGACTGCTTAGTCTGAGGGACGACTTTAAAGAGGGCCATCTGTTTTTCTCCTTCACCTCCCATCTGCAAAAGTGTTCTATCATCTTTTGTTTATATATTGTCAGGGTCATGGTGACCTTTCTTTGTCCAGTAAGGGAGCAGGAAGAAACTTCTATCCAGAATTTATTCTTCCTTGGACAGGTGCTCACCTGTTGCAACCACTTAACTAAATCATAGGATTTTTCTCTCCAGCTTCTCCTCTTTGCCCACAAGCAGGCTTCCCTGTTTCCTCTCCTGCCTCACTGGAATTAAATGAATCTAGTTTCTGTCCACTGAATTGCCTTCCTGTAAGACCTTGAAGGCACTGTGTGAAATGGGAGCAAACAGGAGGCTTTCTGCCAGAAAAGGCAGAGCAAGAAAAGCTATTTCATCTGTAGCTTTGGGGTTTTTGCATGTCCTTTTGCTCTCTGTCCTACATAGTGTGTTTGCCTTGAGTCATAACACTGTCACGTTTGACCTGGGGAAGTACTGAGAATGCTCAGAATCGGCTTATTGCTGTTCAAGTGGCAGCGTTCAGGAACCAACAAACAGCTCTTGTCTTTCATCCTTGCTGCTAGAAAACTGTGCAAACAAACTGGAACTCAATTAAGAGAGGTAATAGGGTTCTGGAGAAGCAGCCTCCTTTTTCATTGCTAAACAAAGTGTTGTTCTGCCCCAGAGCTAATTTTCAGATAAACAAATAGGATCTCTGCTGCTCTTCAGCTTTTGTCTCCTCACAGGAAAAAATTCTCAGGAGACCTTCACTGCAGATAGCAAGTGAATGAATTCTTTCTTTTTTTTATTGTTCATAAAAGATTCTTTTTCCCAAGGATTAGAATAGTATCATCTGAGAGAGCATAATGCTGGATTTTATGCAGATGCCATTGCAACTTCACTATGTTCTTTCTCCCCATTCAGTAAATGGAAATAAATTAAAATTGGTACTAGCATCCCATGGACTCGAGATTAAAATGTCATTTTTTTCAGAATTCCAGAGTAGATGCTGTCTAATGCCTCTTCTGATTTCAACATACTACCTTTGAGTTTAGTTTCTGACTCTGTTGTGACTGTCATTTTCACCCCTTTATTCCTGCCTTAGCTGTGTTATCCTGTCTGTTTCTAGCAATCATCATCCTCACTGAAAGCTTGCAGAGTTTTATTTTAATTTTGGACCATATTGAAACTTTTAGCCTTTATCCAGTCTTCTTTGTGTAGTAGCCCCACTTGTTCCTTTTGCTGTACTGCACTGTGCTACAGTTTTATTTCTTTAGCAAAGTCTTAACTTGATTTTGGCAATTCTTAAGTGTCATGTTTTGTGGCAGCCAGCAGATAGCTTTCCCATTTAACTAAGTTCTGTTCCCTCTTTTTAATTGAGTGTGTATTTTTGTTTTGTTTCTTTTGTGTTGAGGATGATTTTTTTTTAAAGTTTACTTTTATTCATGCAAACAACCCATTGACTTGTGTTTTTAAGTTACTCCAGGTGACTTCTCCCATAACTAGCCTAACTTTATCTCAGAAAAAGCTTTGTTAAAAGTCTGTATGATAATCTGGGTTTTTTTCTTCTAAGTCAGTCAAATTGACTTACGCTGCTAAAACAAGCTTGTTTTCTGTGCACATCTCTTCCTTTGTGACTGCTTGGCAAAGTTCTTTGAGTAGAGAGAGAACATTTTATCTGTTCATTTGCTGAACCATTAAGGCATTTGAGTCTGAAGCTGAGTTAGAAACCAGGATGTTCCAAGCAGTACTACCACTTAATGAAAAATGTGCCTGAAAAGGTGTGCTATTCATGTCCAAGTAAGTGCTGTACTGAATAATTCCCATTTTGAGTCATCTGCAGGCTGATAGATGATGTGGTTCTTAACATTGGGCTTCAGGGCAGTTTGTTTTGGACTTTGGAAGGAGCATGTATTCCTTGGAGATGCCCACAGATCTCCTCTTTGACTTTATATTGTGGAGGAATTCCCCCCCCCTTTTTTTTTCCCCCCCCCCCCCCTTGTCCCATTAGACTTTATTGGTCTTAATTTCCTTTTGCTGCTGCTCCCTTCTCTTGGATTTGTTCACGATTAATCATGCAACTATCTCACAGTGGTGGTAGTAATGATCATCTTAAGTTAGACCATTAAAGAGAGATCACTCTAACAATGGAGTTAGAAACTGAAGAATAGGAAGACTAGTTGAAGGATGAAGGGAATAGAGAATCCAAGAGAGACTTGCTATAATGACACCAGCTTGTTGTAAAAGGAATGTGATTTTGTTTGTTTCTGAATAAGTTTTTGACTGCCTTTTCCGTATTTTGTCTAGAACGTAGATAGTAAAGCCATGCGTGACCAGCGATTAGACATGCAACGAAGAGCAGCAGAGACTGGTGATGATGACCTCATTCCATTTGGAGACCGACCAACTGTGTCAAGATTTGGGGCTATCTCTCGTACTTCCAAAGCAATGTACCAGAATTCTGGTCCCATGCAGGCCATGGCGGTTCAGGGAGCTACCACCAAATCAATCATTTCAGGTATGATGTGTGCTCTCAGATTTTGCTGTTGCTATTTTCTTCAGTGCTACAGTGTAGTGCAAGTTGAAGACTGCCTGTGTAGACTTGTTTCTTATCTTAAAAATATAGATGAGATGTATTTTATGCCACTAAAAATAACTCTAGGTAGGGCTACACTGAGAAGCCTGAAGAAAAAGGCTGCCACTACTTCCTTTTTGTGCACACGTAGGGTATGTGTTAGTGATTTGTTGCTGTTTGGAAACAGTTATTTTGTTCTGCTCGTCCCTAGGAGAAGAGGCTTCTTTTAAATCTGCCTTCTAGATTTTTTTCAGGAGCTAACTGCTGGAAACAAAACAAAAGCTAATTTGCTTAATTCAAGCAGTAACTTTCTAGCCTTCATCACAGGTAGAACTCTGGCTTCCCTGAAAGCTTAATCTTCAAACTGGTGTTAACTGGTATATCAGAATTATGAACTCTTGAGTCTTTTAGGAACTTAAGTAATAAAAAATAACTGCTCTCATAGTGGCTGTAAGCTTGGTTTTGTGTCCCTGTCCCCCTGTGTGGCTGAAGTCCTTCACAAACTCATTGACTTTGGAAGACTCTATAAAAGCTTGTTGGATGTGCAGGAAGAGTCAGGCATTATGCATGTGAGACTGGTCACACATAGTATTCTTACATTCAGTTCAGCAGAAGAAATCCTCAGATTCTCCTCACTCCTAGACTTCCTCACTCTTGGGGGGCTGACCTTCCTGGCTTATTCTCTTAATTTCTGTCCAGTTCTGTGCGTTGGCTGAACTACTTAAAGGATAGTTTTGTAGTAATGACACGTGGTTTTCTTTCTGTTCACGGGCAGACTACAATCCTTATGGAACTCACAGTGGCTGGGGAGGCTCTCCGTATTCTCCTCATCAAAATATACCTTCTCAGGGACGTTTCAGTGACAGGTAGGATTGCTTTATTTTTTCTTTGCCTTTTCCAAACTTTTTTAATCTATTTCTTTCTGTGCCAGCTGAGTAAAGCTTTCTTTGAAAATCTTATTTTTGCTTTTCTGATCCCAAAGGGAGAGACTGTCCATGACAGATGTGGCTGGTCATGGGAAACAGTTGCCCTCAGCAGAGCGAGAGCAGCAGCTTCGCATGGAGCTGCAGCAAGTAGACCATCAGATTAGCCAGCAGACACAAATGCGAGGACTAGAGGTTGGTACCAACAATTTGGAAGAGTGGTGAGGGGTGGTATGGAGAGAGATGAAGCTAGTAAAGCTCCTTTTCATGTGTTGATGATCTTTCTCTGACTGTAATGATATTCAGTAACAATACTTAATTCCATGATGCCAAGCATCAGGACTATGGTACAAGCGTAAACCTCTCTGCTTAGCAGCGGAAACTTCCTGCACTTCACGTGCAAATCAACACCATACTTGAGCCTGTACTCTGTGCTCATTCATGTTTGCTTTCATTCTCTCTCTCACTTACTCCCCCTCTCTGTTCATCTGTTCACTTGAGGCAAACTTGTGGTGTAGATACCTGTTCCTCTTGGCTTTACTGCCATTGAAAATGCCTGATTTTATGTACAGAAAGCTATGACCTTCATCTGTTTCATGTTTGGCTTTGTGTTGTACCCGTTTCTTCCTAAATAGCGCAAGCCACAAGAGTCAAGAAAATAAAGATATTTAGCTTGAAAAATTAAAGCTTAATATTTTACATCTCCTTGCTTAGAAGAAATGTAGTTATTTGCAACATGAGGAAAGATAGGAGTCTGCATTTGTAAAAAGAATTTAATGAGCTGAAATCTTTGTATTTTGTGAGATGAAGAAGAAATGTCATGGCATAATGAAAGAATTGTTTTAGCAAAGCTTTAGTTACCTTTTTTCCCCTAGGAAAAATCAGTAAATATTTACCAGAAATCTATTCTAAGTGTCTCAGCAACTATTAATAATTATTGATGTTTTCCTGGAAGGAATTGCTCTAAGGAGTGGATAGCAGCTTCTGCTGAAATTGTGGTTTCCTAAGAACACATGTTCTTAACAGAGAAGGATTATTGCAGACTAGTAAGAGCTCACAATTTTTAAGTCACAGCAGCAGTTGTAAGTAGTATGCATTTCTTAGTTACTTGAGTTCTTGTGCTCTTGTTTGGGAACAAGAGGAGAAAAACATTTTAAATCTTGCATGTTTGCCATAATAGAGGAGTATTGGGAAGTTGCAAAACCAGTAATTGCTTCTCATCCTACTCATTATTATTGTGATTGTGTCAGTGTTAAATCCTACATAGTTGAGTTTTGAGCCTTGGCTTTACTGTAATTTGAATTTGTCAGAACTAGTTGGTTATTTTGAGAAATAACAGCTTTCAATTTATCTGTCCTGTTCAAAGCTGCAAGTAGATATTTGAAATCGAGGAGGCTTTATTACTTTACCTGTTATAAGGTCGTAGCAATTGCTTAATTCAGTCAGAGCATGAAGAACTAGATTATTTTGCTTTCTTCTCAAATGAATGAGCATTTCTACTTGAAGACCAGCCAGATGTTTGGTTGTGTGGAGTAGTAGATAGTGTGTTTAAATGCAGAGCACACACTTACAGAACCGGTACCCAAGTATTAGCAGATTTTTGGAGTGACTGCCATGGTTACTGCTTTTACTTGCCTGCCAGTAACTTGCAACTTGTGAAGGACTTTAGTCACTTGCCCATTGCTGTTTCTGTGCTTCCTAATCAGCATCAGTAGAGCTATGTATTGACAACCACATCTTTCAAGATATTTTATGATTGGGAAATAATGTGGGCTCTACTGCAGTATCTGATAAATTCTACTACTGTAAAATAAAGGAGCAGATTTGCTTATCTGCTGTTAATCTTTTGTTCAACAGATAGCTCACAAAAAACAGTAGTGGTTTTGTTCATGTGCTTAATCTTAGTCTTGAGAAGGGAGCAGCATATGGGGAAAAATCCATGCAAACTTATTACAGTAAAAGGTATTTAACACTGCTTGCTAAAAGTTAAAAGACTTGTCTGCATGTAAAAAATGTTTAAACTTGCATCACAAGTGATTTTGATTCTGACCTTGTTAAACACGGTGAGAGAAGGCCTTGGTTTTGCAAATAAGCAATACTCTAGAGTTATGGCCTAGAGCTCTTTCCGTGCTTGGTGTGCTGTGTGCTCAGTTGTGTATGTGCTTGGCTTTATGCATTTAGGCTGTTAGTAACAGGCTGCTGTTGCAGAGGGAGGCGACTACCCTGGCAGGCCAACCACAGCCCCCACCCCCACCTCCCAAGTGGCCTGGGATGATCTCAAGTGAACAGCTGAGCTTGGAGCTACACCAGGTGGAAAGGGAAATTGGGAAGAGAACCCGTGAGCTGAGCATGGTGAGTGCTGTGGGGATGGGAGGCAGAGAGGTGGAGTGGAGAGCCCTGTAGTTGGCCGCAGCCCTTTCACCCTGGCAGAAAGGCTCTCCGCTGGATGACCACAGCTGGAGTTATCCATCTCCTCTTCATCTCTTTATTCTTCAAAACCTCCTGGAAAGTTTATTGATTCTTCATGAGGAATTTGAATTCTAGCAACTTTAAAATACTGTGCTGTTACTTTGTCGCCATTTGAAAATAAGCGTGGCGCTGAATTTCTTGAAAACTTAAGAATCGTCTCCAAGGTCACTGTGCTGTGAGTTTTATAAACTGCTTTAACATGGAAAACATCATCTGCAGGTACAGGCTAGTGTTCAGAAGTCTGTGTGCTGTTACAGTCTATGGTCTTGGCTTGTTGTTACAAGAATCATCCTTCCTTTTGGGAAATACCGTCCTGAGAGGATGAGTGTATCTTACTGAGTCTGTTTTCTTGTCTCATGGCTTTTGTGGGTTACACTCCAATTTTTACAGGCCTTCATCATCAGTCCCAAAGGATGAAGTCTCAAATTCTTTTAACACAATGTTAAGGAATTTTTCTTTTGTCCTTTTTTTAAAGGAGAGCCAGTCTTCACTGGACATAAAAACCAAACTGGGCACCGCTAAACAAACAGAAAATGGACAATTAGAACCACAAAGCAAGGTTCCAGCTGAGGACCTCGCACTGACATTCAGGTAACGTGGTTCTTCAGTCTTCCTTTGTATAACAGGAGAATGGCTTAATCATTCTGGTATATGAATGGTATCCCTTGCCTCACATTGTCTTTGATGTGGAAGCATCTACTAGAAAAAGATTATACAAATCAAGCTTTTATAGTGCGAGCGTGAATTAGGGCCATTTCAGCTGATGAGTAAGTAGGTGAGTTGAATGAGACAGTGTATCAATTAATGCAACAGAAGAATTGCAATGTTTGTAAGACCAGAAGCCCATCTAGTCAATATTGGATAGTTAGGAGGGAGGAGCAGGAGATTTCTTTTATGGTGGTTGTTTATATACTGTTTTAGTTTCAAAGGAAAGAAATATTCCAAATGTGAGAGGAAAGTTATCCCATCCTGCTAAGGTTTGTGATGTGGATGTTGTCTAGGAAAGTATGCAACTTTGAAACAAAGTTTGCTTTTATTTGTAGGCAGTAATTTTTATCTGTGTAGATGTTGGGATTTATTTAAACTCACATTTGATAATCAATTGAAATAAGATGTTGGCTGGGAATGCTGGAAATCTACACAGCAACCATTTTCAGATGGCTGCAAGCATCTGTGTATTTGGACTAATACTAACAGAAGCTGGAATGCTGCAGATGTTTTGCTAAGTCAAGTTTACATAACTTCATGTGAGCAGTTTGGAATCTGGATATTTATTCAGAAAGAGTATTCAGAAAATGTATCCCTTTCAGTTGCTTATGAAGTCCTATAACCAGTCCTTGAGTTCTGTGCTTCATCATTAGATTGAGGCCTCCAGAATGGGAACTAATTTTTCCATGTGAAATTCTGGAAGTAATGAAATTGAAACAAGCATTTATTTTTTTTTTTTTTAAATAAAAAACAATTAAGATAAATGATCCAGATAAGTTAAATATTCTGGAATATATGTGTTGTACAGATTGATACTGTATATCTTGTGGCATATACTGAAATACTTTGCAAAAACATATCTAATTTAGAACCCTAAAAATATGTAGTCTTGTTTGTTTTCAACTAGCCTTATATTAGTTTTTCTGGTAAGTACCTGCAGCATACCAGACAATATTTATTATACAAGGCAAGTCTTCACATATGTAAATATGTTCATAACCATTCATTGAGATGCTGCAGCAATAAATATTGAAGTCCTTTTACTTAAAATAAATTAAAAATTTTAGTAATTACTTCTCTTCACCCCCTCCCCCTTTCTCCTCAACTTTCTTTCAGCAGTGATGTTCCAAATGGATCAGCCTTGACACAAGAGAACATTGGCCTCCTGTCAAACAAGACAGCATCTCTCAGCCTGTCAGAGGACCCAGAGGGAGGAGGAGACAACCATGACTCCCAGCGAGCGGGAGTTACACCCACATCTGCTCCATGAAGTGAGGCCAGCATACCCCAGAGTTTCTTTTGCTGGGGTGTTGGTAGCTTCCACCACATTTTTTTCTAGGGGTGATTGGAGAAACCCAGGAGCAGCAGCAGTAGCAGAGCAGCAGGTCCAGAGGCAATGTGCACAAACACAACTACTAGAAGCAAATCCTGCACATAGTTCACATTAACGCATTTTTTAATTAAAAAAATGAAAATTAGCAGTATCTGCAAGCGATTCAAATTAAATTTGTTTTTGTTCTGTGAATGAACTTTATTTTAATAACTTCGGACGCCTTGGATCCCAGGGCTTAAAAAAAAAAAGATATTATATATATACTCTGTTTGATTAATTGTATGATCTTAATGAAGTAGGTTTTTTCTTTTTATTTTGGTATTATTACATACCCAGTGCATAATTCCTTATCTTAATTTCTCAACGACTAAACCAACCTGGCCGCTTTCTTGTACTGTTTAAAGTTAAACAAGGAATGAGGGTTGGAGAGTAGCTGTGAATTGCAGTGTCAAAAGATGTGCAGCAAACTTCATTATTAAAACAACTCCTCCCCTTGTAGTTAGGAACTGAGCCCTAGCTTGTTCGAGACTGCTTGCTTAAATTATTTAGTTTGAAGTACAAGTGACAGAATCTTTGCAATGCAACAGGTGCAGTCCTTCATGTATGTCCCAGCACAGCATGTGTAATTAAAGAGGGTAAAATAAGTGTCCAACATGTGGTTAGCTGGGTCTCGTGATAGAGAGGCTTAACTAACCAGTGAAGGTTGTGCAGCTGTGACCAAGGTGGAATCTCTAGAAATAGGAAATAGAGTGAACATAAGGTTATTGCTAGAAGGATGTTAACTGCTGATGAGCTGGTGAACCACATTAGTTCATCCAGTGTTTGCAGGGTTGTGGGGTTTTTTTACCCTTCTCACTGTGCTTTTAAAACAAGCTTAACCAAAGTCCATACAATTAAGTTGATACAGAGGGCTTCACTGACCTCTCTGCCTTTTAAACAAGTCTTTCATGTATGCTTCCTTCTCAGCAACTCTTGCCTTTTTTTCTTCATTGCTATTTTATTATTTTTACTAAAAACATAATTTCCTTTATAACCTAATTTTTTTCTTCTTTTTTTTTGTTCAGTGATACATCAGTTATTATTTAATTGTAATGCTGTTGCAAGGGCCTTTTACTGAAGGAGACCAACCTGGTTTTGATTTGTGTGCATCAATGATGGCAGTCTTTAAAAAATAGAGGGGAGGTTTTATTTCTTTTTTTTTTTTTTAAAGTTGGCATTGTTTAAGGTCTGTGTGTATTGGAATTTGACACCTGAGAATCAATCTGCAGCTTGTCTGCCACTGCTGCAGTGAATCCTTCCTAGATTCCCCTTTCTTAGGCGAAAAGTTGCATCGAAATAACCACTCAAGGTACAGCACGGATCCTGTAAGAAGTAGTCAGAAGTGTTGAAAAGCAAGTTTTGCTTGATGATATCTAGAGTGCTAGTTCTCCAAGTAGATGTTTTGTAAGCATCGGTTGGAGAAACAGTAAACCTTTCTAGATGTTTTCTTTAAAGAAATGAAAGAGTTTTTTTTCTTGCTGCACATTTTTTTGACTCTTTGACATGCACTGGGGTGAGACCCTGTATAAGAAGAATTCTGTGGAGAATGATTTTAAAGTGCTGCTCCCTCTGCACCTTCTTGGCCTGTTCTCATTTTTCTTTCTGGGTTAGACTACTAAATTGGAAAGCACTGGTTATGTAATATATTACTGCATTGCTTTGGTTGGGTAAAGCAAGAGTTAATAATTTTCTTGGGTTTTAGTTTTTTCCTTAACCTTAACTCCTGCTGAGGTCATAGCAACCTTGGGCTAAGCTTTGCATTCATCATACTGTTAAATAAAACAAAATGGGGGGGTGGGAGGGGATACAGTCCCACTATTGCCTACCAGTAGGAGAGTCCAAACAGAAGACTCTTTTGAGTAGCAATTATTTAATTTGCCCAGTCAAGGCACCGCGTTTATATACTATTTCACATTGAATTTGATTATGCCCTACAGACCTGGCTGGTCAAGGATTTGATACACATATTGGCTTGGGATTCGAGCTTTCTTTTTTATTTAAATAAAAATTTATATATAATTTTTTTTTACTTATTGGGTATGTTTTAAGAATTTTTTCGCATGAGCGCAGCTGTTGTGATCAAATGTCTGGGAGGTAGAAGCACTGAATGAAAATAAAGGCATTTTTCAGCGCACACGCCCACTTTCCGTACATCTTCACACGGGTTTATTTCGCTCTTAGTTGAACTTTGGCCTCTTAATTGCCACGAGTAGTTTTGAAGCTTGCTTTTTTTCTAACCCCTCTAAACTTTTGGCAAAGAATCATCTTTGCACTAGAACAGCTTCATCTACACCTTGCCCCCATCCATCTGTATCTCCTACTTGAGGCCTAGCATTACAGCGACTCCCCCTCGAGCTGAGCAGAGCTAGGCTGATGCAGTTTTGAGCCTGTCAGGTCTGTTCCTCCCTTCTCTGCTCTGGGCATGACGATGATTAACATGTTCCCTTGGCAGCCTGCTCACAAGTCAACTGACACAGGCACTGTGCCCTGTTCTCCCATCCTTAAGTGCAGAGCACCACCATCAGGTCAGCGTTCTCATTGGTTTTAATTAGTTTACTTCTTCCTGCTGTGTCTTTATTAACACAGGGAGCTCATTTTAGTTGAGATAATTAGTGCAATATTCTAATCTAGGAGGACAAGCCCAGAATGTATCTTTTTTTTAACTGCAGTAATTCTTGATGTAAAATGAATTTGCAAAGACGGTTATGATACGTTTGAATCTACAGATTCAGTTTCAACACTAGGAAGAAAACCTGGAGGGGCAAAAAACTTTTTGCCTTTTATTAGTTGTGCCAGCTAGTTTCCTTGCCAGATTAGGGATTAATTTTTTTCTCCACTTTTGCTCCCAGGAGGAATTCTGCAGTAAGAGCTATTCAGATTGCTGGCCTACGTGTGGTGAATGCTTCCAAAACCTACGGATTAGAAGGAAGACCTTACCATTGTGGGGGTTTTTTTGTTTGGTTGTTTTTTTCCCTCCTTTACCCAGCTCTCCGTGCTGTACTTTGTGCATAGTGTCCTTGTTGTGATCAGTGTGTCCAGGTGAATGCCCTGTTTGCCCAGTACTATAGTTTGGCTTGTTAAATAGTTTGTTTAATGTCTACCAACAATATTGATTTTTGGCTTTGCTTTTCCCCTCCTTCTCTTGTCCTTTTTCTGCTTTTTTGCAGAAGTTTAGTTGATAAAACAAGTCAAACAGCAAAATGCAGTGCATGCTTTTAAGTCTTCTGGAAGCTGCACCTAAAATCTTTCCTTTTTGTGGAAAAGCATGCTGGTAGAACTGGGAGGACAGATAGCTCTACATATTACACGTAGTATCGATGGTTACAGCAAATAACTGGGGAATGAGAATTTCTGGAGTAACTGTATACTGCTGCATTCATTTCTATAGCCCATTATTGCCCAGTTGTACAGGAATGCTGTCTGCCTCAGTGAAACTGATCTCAGCTAGAAAGTGGTTTAGTTCCTTCTACTTGGGCAAGAAGAAACAGTATTAAGGTGGTGTTAGGGCACTACTGCATCATTTGGTAGGTAGGCTAGATTTTTCTACTGCAGTAAATAACTTTGAACACTCATTGATTACCTGGGTTTCAGCCCCAGCATGGAGAACACCCCTGGAATAGGAAGCTTCAAGTGTTAGGTTAAGTTTTAGTATGTCAAACAGTGATTCAATCAGTGTAGAAATTATGTTTGTTTATTATGTAGTGTTATTTTCTTCCTTCTTCTGTCAATATCTCTTTTTCCTTTCCTGTGACCTAATTATCTTTTTTTTTTTTAATGGGAGAAACTTTCTCTTCTGCCCCTCTTGTATAGTATTGTATCCTGTCCCATTTTAGAGTAGGACTTTTTTATTTAGATCAGAGCGCCTTTCAAACTTGCAGCACTGTTATCCCCTTTCTTCTCGAGTTCTTCTCTGTCTGGTTTCTTCTGAGCCTTATTCTCTCCCTTTTGTCCATACCTTCCTTCCTTTCCTTCTGTGGCTTCCCCATTCACCCTCCCTGATTGTGTAACAGTGACAGCTTGCTGCCTCAAAACAGAGCATTCAAATGAATTCGCTTAGCCAATAACTTCTGTGAAGTTGCCTTTTCTAATGGTGTTATTACTCAGTGATGCACAAATGTGATATTGCCCCTACTGGTAGGCAAACGGGGGATCTGTATAAACATGGTAAACTGCTGTTTTTCTTTAAAGGAGAGCCAAAGACTTGTGCTTTACACTTTTTTTTTTTTTCCTGGTGTAGCCATTTTGATTGTCAAATCTTTGTAGGGTTTTGTGAGTTGACTGTATTATCCTAATAACAATTTCAAAAGTTAATGATTGTCAAGCCTTATCCACGCATTGAATTGTGGAAAATCATTCCATTTAGTCATACAATTTGCAATGTACTGAGGTGTATCTGGGATATTCTGACATGTTTTCAGTCTCTCATGCACTCTCTCAGCTGATGGAATAGCTCATTTAGAGAGGGAGAAGGAACATGGAAATTTTATATAATCCAAGAAGCCTTGTCTTTAAGTGTTTAAATTGAATCCTGATTTAAAATTTCTTTCATTACAGTAAAAGATAAATCTGTGTTGCAAATGTGACTGACTTTTAAGCCCATTGGAACTGAAAAGACTTGTCAAACTGTAGCATTACATTAAATTAGATGTGGAAGAAGCAAACTTGTATGATGATATTGTCTCTTGACAGCACGAATTGAGTAAGGTGGGGCAAATTCTTTATTAGAAGGGACTAGCAGTGAGGCTTTTCTTTGATAATACAAGAAAGCCACTTATATTTCCCTTCCTTGATCTAACTTAAACTCTTGCAGACTGTTACTAAGGTTTTCAGGTTCAAAGAGAAATCTGTAAGTCAGAGTAGCATAATCTCTCATTTCCATTGCCATTTCCACTTATAAATCTGGACTATAACAAAGCAGACTTACAGGATGGTCATCTGAAGAACCCCAATATAAAGTATCTTCAGTTGACTAGCTGTTTCAGACCCACTTCTATGGTCCAAGAAATTCAGTGCTAATAATCAGGAGGCTCAAGAGCAGGAGTGCCATCTCATCATCTTTGTTCTAAAATGTTGGGGGGGGGGAACCATATAAGCAGTGTGCAAGTTTTGTGCTTGTCTATGTGTGTATGAAGAAGTTTTTGTAGTCCTAGAATAGATAGAAGGAACACAGAGCAAGATGAGAGCGTGATGTTACTGTCATATTCAAATTTTGTCATCATTCACTTCCCAAAACACACACTTCTTGCTTCCATCTCCTAACGTTGGTAGCACTGATTTAAAAACAATCAAAAAAAGTCAGTGTGTCAGCAACTTAATTTTTTGTATTGCAGTAAATCAATTCCCCTGGATAAAAAAAAGGAAGCAAAAGTTCTTCAGTTGTCTAAATGGTGATTTAGACATGAACTGGAAAAAAAAACATCTTCCTTGCTTGGTAAATGTAAACTCTGAATTTGAGGAAAGTAAAACAGCTCTTCTGAACCACTGTTTAGGTATAGCCTTGGTGCTAACAGTTGGGTGATTGTTACTTGTGGTATACCAGCATATGGATTATGTAGCGCCAATTTATTTGTTCTCAGATCAAATATAATCCAAAATGTCAAAAACTTCATTGGGGATTTCTTTTCTATACTCACTTGTTACCAATGGCATTATTTTCTATTGAAATGTCAGGTGGGTGGAAGAGGCTGCAGTAAGTTAGTTCAAGTTATACAATATGAGTAAGCGATTTTGGGGAGTGTTATCCCAGCACAGTGTCCTTACACAGTTAACATGTGGTCTTTATTCTTGTGTAGGAAGAAGAATGTAACTGCTTAGTGTTGTCACAGTCTTCAAGGCACTTCATGTGATGCAGGTAGAGCCTTGATTAGCAGGGAAAGGAGAACAAACTTAATATTTGTTTTCTTTGCAATTTTATTTCCCTGTGGCAAGTGTATAATATCATGCCATGGAAACTCTTTGAACACTATGGTAAGCAAAGAGGGTGCAGCTTTTTTTGAAATTTCCCAATGAAAAGAGCATGTGGGAATATGGATATGTCTGCATCGGGAACATCCCACTCATTTGAAGCTTAAAATGTGACCTTAATAATCAAAATTAGATGTCTGTAGCTTAGTAACCTAAATAATTAACTGATCTTTCCCAGGCAATCTTTGCAATTCCAGTGAGTTTGTGTATGATTTTAGTGTGCATTGCCAGGTGTTCAGCATTTGGGAAAGTTTAGGTGCCAAGCTTCATCCAGCAAGGCAGGTGTCTTTGGATAAACAGGTCGGATGTTTTCATATTCCAGGAAACAACTGATTCTAAGATCTGAAAGTTTTAGGAGAACACAATTATCAGCTTCAATTTGAAAAATACAGTCTTGGGAAAGCTGGAAGCAACAGGTGGTGCAGTGTTTCTGAAAACA